GAACCTCAGTGACAAACTCCTCAGAAAGCTGTGGTCCATCCACCTTGGCCAGAACAGCAGTCCCTCTAATATGTTTACTCACAGTATATCATTCAGCCTCTAGATGGTCGTGTGTGCTGTATAGTTCCAAACAGGGTGTGGTCCCTGGTAAACAATAGAGACAAAGGTGGAACTCAAGCTGAATGGAAGTCTGTTTGTCTGTAGTTGTAGCTTTTTTCTTTCTGTTGAAGAAGAGCTTAAATTGATTCTATATATCAGAAAAGTCACTACAACATGGTACCTCAAGAGAACAGAGAATAAAAGAGGTATAAGAGGGGTGATGCTTGGGGATCCCTAACTTTCTCGAGACAGGAGCAACAACTTTTTAAAAACTACATTCCTTTATAGCAGTTTGTCATGTTGGTTGTACTGCAGCACTGCAGTTGTACAGAAAAACTCCCTACCCTCCTTGTGTTACAGTCCTGCCCTACCTCCTCCCCCAACCCCCAGCCACCTGCAACTAGACAGCAGCTCCTGGAATGAACTTTAAAGAAGACCCTAAGCCTCTGGTTATGAGCAGGTGCAGATCAACTGAACTATATGAACGAACTCAAAGCATGGATGTTTCAGTTATGAAGGAGAAAAACTTTCAAATGATTCTTGGATGTTTCTTGTTTTAGTTCAAACTGTTTTCAAGACCTAGGAGCCTAATCCCACTGAAGTCACTGGAAGTTTCCCACTGACTTTAGTGGGAGAAGAAGCAGGCCTTTAGATGCACATGTGTGCAGCACCCATTTACTTGACTGGGATTTGCTTGTGCTTTTATAATACTTGGCCCTAAATCTCATCTTTGCAGATGCCCTGCTATCTAAGAACTTTAACTGCAAGCAACCATATTGCTCTCGTTTGATTGTGGAAATATTACCTGACTTCAGTGCCTAATTAGGTGTTGTGCATTCCAAATGGCTCTGACAGTGCTGCCTACTTAAAAGATTATTTAGGGAAAGAAAAGAATTGGACTGGCTACAAGGGTAAATTTCTTTTTCTAAAACCAGCAGCCACAATCCCATGAGGTGTGACCTTTTCAGATCTCAGAGAATAAGCGCTGGTGGATATCATCAGCTCTGGTATGGGAGGCCCCCAAAGAAACCTCATTTGCTTCAAAAGGTGATGTTAGAAATGCAGCTGGGCACTCTTTAACATTGGGTACATCTACACAGTGAGCAACAGTACAGCAGTGAGTTTAGAGCCCGGGTCAACAGACGTGGGCTCATGGGGCTCACACTACAGAGCTAAAAATAGCTGTGCAGAAATTACATCTTGGCCTGGAGCTTGGCCAACCCCCCTCCCTTGGCTTCAGAACCTGAGCCCAAATGTCTCCACTGCTAATTTTAGTGCTATAGCGCAGGCGTCACGAGCCTCAGTCTGTCTCTGAGACTCGCTGCTGCAGGCAGTATAGACAGCCCATGTCAGTGCTGAATGCCCAGCAGGGCCGTCCCTAGGGGGGTGAGGGGCCTGGGGCGGAAGTGACGAATCCGTCACTTCCAGGACCAACCGTGCCCAGCACCAGTCAATCGCACCAGCAGCCCGTGGGGCCCCCCAAAGCACAAGGCCCAGAGCAGTCGCCCCAATTCGCCGTACCCAAGGGACGGCTCTGATGCCCAGTAAGGTATAGTGTTAAAGGGCACTGTTCTGAAGTCATTAAGGACCCCCGGTACTTTTCACCAGAGCCAGTGTCAGCTCTACAGCCCTCTTGCATTTGAATAAGACATCCTTCACTCTCCATAGCAAACTGCAGTGCACGGTTAGCCAACTGATGAGGTCCACCTCAGAGGTGACTGCATGTCATTGGCAGATGTTTTTTGAAATGTTTAAAGCAATTTGGGATCATTTGGAATGAAGGATCCTGTATTAAATGTAAGAGACATATTTCAAATGAATTCCCGTAGAAGAAATAAACCAATTGAAACAATATGGCCAGTTAGCAAGTGACCAGTTAAAGACCTGCTACCTAAATTCATTTTATTAAAATACTATTTTTAAAGGAATGGGTCTGTTAAATGGATACAGTTTTTGTATGGTGCTATGCCTTTAACTGCCAAACAAATTCAGGAGGCGAATCCGACATTTTCATGTTAGGAATCTGAGTTTTCTGAGCACACATAATTGTGAACAGGATTCTTCTGATTTCCCTTGTGGACAGGTGACTCTAAAACTACCTACTGCAGGATTTCATGCCCCTTCCTCTGAAGGAGCTGATCACTGTCGCAGAAAGGCGACTGTACTAAAAAGACCATTGTTCTCATCCAGTAGGGCAGTACTTGTGATTAGCACATTTTATTGCAGGCAAAGTTTAACTTCCCTTTCCTCTGAGCCAAATTGATTATGTTAGAAAGACGAGCATTTTCTAAGGACAAGACACACTAAGTGACACAGGGAGAGTAAAATGAATCTAAAATATGAGGCGAGGCACTAGAAAAAAATTGTCAATTTTCTTTTGAAATCTGTGCAGCACTTCTGCAGTCAGACCAACTTTTCCTCTGATCATACAAACTAAAGAGGGTCAGGCTGGGTCAATACTTGGATGGGAAACTGACAAATATCATCTAGGTGCTACTGGAAATAGAAATGAACCTGATCTGAACAGCCCAGAATTTTGGGGAAGTTCAATTCTGGATCTGAACATTGTGGTTCAAGTCTATCTTTATTAATGTGATGGCCTCCAAGTGTCAGCACTGAAGCAATGTACCAACACGGGTGTTAGAGAACATTGTGCTGCTGGAGGTGCATATTTCAGATGAGACATAAAGTCACCCTTATGTCTGCATTACAGTCATTAAAGGTCTCCTGGCACTTTTTACAAGAGTGTATTCACCCTGATGTCCTGGCCAAATTCCAATTCAGGCTCTTTCCCTTGAGGGCATGGCTACACTTGCAGATTTAGAGCGCTGTGAGTTAAACCAGCCCTCGGAAACTGCATCAGGGAAAGAGCTGCAGTGTGTTCACACTGTCAGCTGCAAGTGCACTCAGGGGCGGCTCTATGTATTTTGCCACCCCAAGCAAGCACGGCAGTCAGGCAGCCTTCGGCGGCATGCCTGCGGGAGGTCCGCCGGTCCTGCGCCTTCAGCATACTCGCTGCCGAAACCGCAGGACTGGCGGACCTCCTGCAGGCATGCCACCGAAGGCAGCCTGACTGCCACCCTCACGGCGACTGGCACGCCACCCCCCGCAGCTTGCCGTTCCAGGCACACGCTTGGTGCGTTGGTGCCTGGAGCCGCCCCTGAGCGCACTGGCGTAGCCACATTTGCGGCACTTGCAGTGGCATTGGGAGCGGTGCATTATGGGCAGCTATCCCACAGAGCACCTCTTCCCATTATGGCGCTGTAGCTTCTGCAAAGGGGGCAGGGAGGTGCGGGTCATTCTGGGTCCTGTCCCGTTGCCCCGTGATGCATCGCTTCACATCCCAGCAATCCCTGTGCTTCTGTCCACATTTGGCACCATCTTTCAACATTTTTTGTACTGCGCGCTCTGTCTTCCCTTTCGGTCTGAGGGAATGGATCCCGAACAGCTGAGGAACATGCTGATGGGTTTCGCAAGCACGTCACGAATTACAGTCGAGTTACTCCTTAAGCTACAAACTGACAGTGAGAAATCTGACAATGATGTCAACTCGCATAAAGCATACCACACGAGACTGCTTGTGGCATTCACGGACATGCTCATGACAGTGGAACGCCGCTTTTGGGCTCGGGAAACAAGCACTGAGTGGTGGGATCACATCGTCATGCAAGTCTGGGATGACAAGCAGTGGCTGCAGAACTTTTGGATGAAAAAAGCCACTTTCATGGGACTGTGTGCTGAGCTCGCCCCCACCCTGCGGCGGAAGGACACAAGATTGAGAGCTGCCCTGCAAGAGGAGAAGCAGGTGGCTATTGCAATCTGGAAGCTGGCCACTCCAGACAACTACCGATAGGTCGCTAACCACTTTGGAGTGGGAAAATCGACCGTTGGAATCGTGCTGGTGCAAATTTGCAGGGTCATTAATTGCATCCTGCTCAGAAGAACCGTGACTCTGGGTAACGTGCAGGACATTGTGGCTGGCTTTCCACAAATGGGTTTCCCTAACTGCAGAGGGGCGATAGATGGGACACATATTCCAATTCTGGCAACAGCCCACCTAGCCTCCGAGTACATTAATCGGAAGGGGTATTTCTCTATGGTTCCCCAGGTGCTTGTGGATCACCGTGGGCGTTTCATTGACATTAACTCAGGTTGGTCCGGAAAGATGCATGATGCACGCATCTTTCAGAACACAGGCCTGTTCAGGAAACTGCAAGCCGGGACTTTCTTCCTAGACCAGAAGATCACCATAGGGGAAGTCGAAATGCCCATTGTGATCCTTGGAGACCCTGCTTACCCTTTAATGCCGTGGCTCATGAAACCCTACACAGGGAGCCTTGACAGCAGCAAGGAGCGGTTCAACAACAGGCTGAGTCAGTGCAGAATGACTGTGTGTGCTTTTCACCGTTTAAAGGGCTGCTGGCACTGTCTGTATGGGAAGCTGGACCTAGCCGATGACAACATTCCCACGCTTATATCCACATGCTGTACCCTCCATAACATTTGTGAAGAAAAGGGTGAAAGATTCACTCAGGCATGGACCTTGGACGTTCAACACCTGGAGGCTGAATTTGAACAGCCAGAGAGCAGGGCTATTAAGGTGGGGAACGGGACAATCACAGATTTGCGTATGTCCTGTTATCATACTCAGCCTTCCTGTCTGGAGTGCCTTGCAATGAGTGCTGCACTTCAGGCTGCCTAAAATGCGTGGTGATGAGGTTGAGTGCAGTGGGTAAGGGTTGTAGTTTCAGGGCTGGGTGGTGAAGCTACAGGTGTTGGAAGCAGCTGGTGGTGATAAGAACCTGGATGTTGTGAAAAGTGGGTTGGCGGTGACATGGGGGCACAAGGGAAAGAGTTTTGGGACAAGGGCTGCGGGGGAGGCGGGCGCAGAAGTGCTCCGCCTACATTGCTATGAGCGCCTGTACTGAGTCCACTTGATGCTCCATGATGCTTAGCAGCTGCTCCGTGCTTTGGTGCCAGCGATCCTCATTCTGCTGGCGGACCCTCCTTTCATTATCCCGCCACTCCTGCACTTTTTGATTTTCATTAAGGGACTGCTGCATTACTTCATGCAGCATGTCCTCTTTGCTTCTACACATCTGCTTCCTGATTCTTTGGAGTCTTTCGACCGTTGATAACAAGGACGGCTGGGATCTCAAGGTTGCATCTGCAAAGCCAAAATACAACACTTAACAGAGGCAGCATCATTCACACTAGTCAGAGCAATGATTCGGCCATACTTAAAGACAAGTCCAGTGTACAAAATAGCAGAAATTGCCCATCCCAAAGCAAGCACACATAACCCACAGGAGCCCCAAAATAGTGAGTAAGCACAGGGGCAAGGGGGACTGATTGTTTCACGGCTGTACTGTCCTCTGGGGTTCTGTGCCTTGGGGAGAGCCAATATCTACTGAACACTGTCCCCACATTTTCCACAGGATGAGTTTGTCCTAGAAGACATCTCACTGCTGAGGGTGACCTGGGAAGCAAGGGAGGATCTTCTACTACAATGCGGCTTCCGCCCTGGCCCATATGCAGCTTGCCTGTATGCAGCAATGGTCCCCCCGCCCGTCATGGCACAGTGGCACGGACATGTTAGCCTGGCTGGGACAAAGAGCACAGTAGCTCTGCCAAGGAACCTGCGCAAGCGGATTGCCCAGCTTTTGCATGAGACCTCTGAAGAGACCACTGAGGCCGATTACCGCGATGTGAGACAGCACATCAACGCTCGATTCCGCATCTAGGCATGCATGCAGCTCTAACCCTCCTCGCTCCAAGAGCCCACACCGAACAACTTCCCTCCCAAAATAAAAGCCACTTACCGGGCACCTCCTCTGGTGTTTGTTCTTCCCCAAGCACCATCGGCTGCGACTGTCTACCTTGCTCCTGGCTTGAAAACAGCTCCTGACTGCATGAATCTAGGGTTGCCGGGCTGTCTCCCTCCTCCTCAGCACCTTCACTCCCGCTTTCCTCCTCCTCCTGCCTTGTTGAACTGGGCTCTGAAGTGTCCACGGTGCTCTTCGGAGTGGAAGTGGGGTCGCCCTCAAGTATTGCGTCCAGCTCTTTGTAGAAACGGCAGGTCGTGGGTGCAGCACCGGAGCAGCAGCTTGCCTCGCATGCTTTGCAGTACGCATTCCGCAGCTCCTTCACTTTAACGCTGCACTGCCGTGCGTCCCAGTCATTGCCCCTTTCCATCATGTTCCTTGATATCTGCCCGAAGGTAAAGTAATTCCTACAGCTGGAGTGCAGCTGGGACTGGACAGCTTCCTCCCCCCAATCACTGATGAGGTCCAGCACCTCGCCATTGCTCCATACTGGGGATCGCCTGGCGCGTGTAGGCATGGTCACCTGGAAAGATTTGCTGAGAGCACTCCACGCCTGGCTGAGCAAGCGTTATGCTTCTCGTGGAGGAGGATTACCAGGAGCGCTCCAGCCATGGAGTCCGGGCGCTCTACGTGCCTTGCCAGTGTGGACGCGTCATGAATTAGGGTGCCCGGGGCTGCTTTAATGTGCTCTAACTCGCAAATGTAGCCAAGCCCTTAAATTCCCACTGCACTTTCAATTGGATATAGGGTGACCAGACAGCAAGTGTGAAAAATCAGGACAATGGGTGGGGAGTAATAGGCACCTATATAAAACAAAGCCCTGAATATCAGGACCGTCCCTATAAAATCGGGACATCTGGTCACCCTAATAGGATACCAGATTGTTCTTAACTGTTGTGCGGAGTTGCTCTGTGACGTAAAACAGCTGCTGTGTCCCACCTTCAGAGGCTGCTGTATTTCAGCGGTAGCTGAAATGATCCCTTGCCAACCACAGAAGGGAGCTGGTGAGGCAGCTGTGAACTCTGTTCCTGTTTCTTCCACTGAGTTGCTGAGTGATCATATAAGCAAGTCACTTACCCTTTCTGAGCCCCAGTTGCTGCATCTGTAAAAGGGATCTATTCTCAGGGGAATTAGTAGGCTTAATTATGGTTTGTGTGAAAAGGGTTCTGAGGAACTCTGATGAAAAGTGCCACAGAAGTGTGCAGAGTACTAATATTCTTTTAGAGTCTGAAACAAAGCCCTTTGAAGTCAATGGAAAAGTTTCTATTCACTTCAATGGGCTTTGAATCAGAGCTTAAGCCTTCACTTATTCGGTTGCACACACTTACTACTTCTTTTACTCAGTTTCAATGTCATAATCTAGTTATAGCCTGAGAATTCCAAGGGGAAAAAATTATTCCAATCAAAGTGTTGGGGTTGTTTAAGTTTGTAGAAATTAGAATTCCAAACGTTGTCTTTGAATTTAGCAGTGACTTTATAACACAGTAGTATCCAAAAACCGCAGCAAAAATCAGACCCCACTGGGTTGGTCACTGTACAAATATCAAATAAAAAATAGCATCTACCCCCAATGAATTTACAATCTAAATAACAGAGGTCTACTGTCACTCTGAGCTGGCTAGGCATGAACAGGTTAAACTTCTAAAGGTGCAAGATGGATTTCTTTTTGCACCATCTGAAAAAAAAAAACGGTCACAGACAGTTAGCCACATTAGAGGAGTACTAAGGAGCACATCTGCAAGCTAAGCATACATACCTTCTGCCTGCCTGCTTGTCCATACCACAGCCCCTCTTTGTGCAGTCACAGAAGATTCCACAAGTGCTGACTTTTGAATCCCCGTTACAAACAAAGGTTTCAGGAGGAAGCAAAAACCCTCCATCAGCCAGGTAGGTCTAATATGTTTATTGTTTTACCCAAACAAACCCTGGGTTCCAAAGTTAGAGAAAACTTTGAGAAATGTTATCTACATGCTTCAGTAGTTGGCTGGTTTAGACTAGAGCTGTCTGGGGGCGTCCAGATGGGAATTTGATCCTAAAGAATTTAGGAGCCACATTTGCTTCTCAGTCTACAAGTCTTGGGTGTGTGCTGTGGGGAGTTAGCCCCAGCTCCTTCAGAAGGCCCTGGGTTAATCTTTTTTAAAGAAAATGCTGCAATGGCAGAATCATCAGAGAGGAAAATAAATGTAATCTTGCAAAGTAACTTTTAATCCCTGCACTAAGCACCTGTGTTCCTGCCAAGATACCAGTGATTACAGACTGATGGGAGACTTCAAGAAACAGCAGAGGGAGCGTTTACAAATTAAGACTCAATGTTACCCTGGGATCTAATCTCTTAGAGAGTCAGCAGTCTAACATTCTAATAAAAGCTATTCAAATAGCAAATAAAGTGCTTTGCAAATCTGTTTGTGACTAGAAGCTGAGTTAGTTCACTAGATTCATGGGGTCATATCATTCATTACTTGCAATTTAGTATCCAGACAGCTACCAGGTATTTGTGAAAACAGCTGTGGGTACTAAACGTTTTATGAATTTTAGCCAAATGATTATATATGTGAAAATTCATATTAAATAGCGATGTTTGTTATTCATTATCCTCCTGTTTAAATTGCTTCAGTCATCCAATTGGAGAGCAGAAACATTATCATGTGACTTAGGTGCCCAATCAAACAGCATTTATAGTCAAAGAGGACACAGTTAAGGGAAAAAAAGAGTTATCTGAAAACTATACATCCCAAGCTTTTCAATGGCTATTTCTGAAAAAACAAAGACATTTTTGCTGGACATGTTGGTAACACAGGCTCCCCACTAGGTTCTAACACAATCCCCACAACACGATTTTAAAGGTGCAAATCTGTATCTAGTAGGCACGACGGGAGGTTTCAAATCATTTTAGCCAACTCAGTTTTAAAAAGCACCTTTATTCTCTATCCTCATGTAGACAGACTTCTATTTGAATCCCTCCACTCATTCTCCCTTCTCAATCACATCAAATTCAAGCTTCTTGTTACCACTTTCTATACCCTACACAGTATTGCCAGTCCCAAGCATTAAAAAATCATGACTCAAGCCCCAAAAATGCATAAGATTTTAAAACATAATATATTCAAGGTTCTTTTTATTTCTCTTCTGGCTTTTGAGCCTTTAGCGTGCACACAGATCACGCTCTCACAATTTTCTTGCGACTATAAGGGCTACAAACTTATTTTTTCTTTTAAAATGAAAAATGAGATTCTCATCAAACCACCTGTCGTGGAGCTGGGGCTTTAATAAAAATCCTAGATAGCATGAAAATCACAAGATTTGGCAACACTGCCTACATAACTCTGCTCCACCCCCCTTAGTTGCCCTTGTCTCTTACAGTTAAGGCTAAGATTTTGTCAGGGATATTTTTAGTAAAAGTCACAGACAGGTCACGGGCAGTATAGAAAATTTCACGGAAGCCCGTGACCTGTCCCTGACTTTTACTAAAAATATCCCTGACAAAATGGGGAGCCCAGCTGCGGGGGCTGCACCAAGCTGCAGGGGCTGCCTCAAGCTCTGGGTGCCCACACTACCTGTGGGGACTCAGAGCTCCAGGGTTCCCAGCCTCAGAGCTCCGGGGTACCCCCGCCACCTGCGGAGCTCTGAAGGACCCCCGGGGCCCACGGCAGCTCAGAGCTGGGAGGCCCCCGCCCCCCGTGTCGGCCAGGAGCTGCGGGAGCTCCACTGCGGCTAGGAGCTGTGGCCCCACCTTCGCCGCAAGTGGCAGGGAGCTCTGGGGGGGCCCAACTGCCTGTGTTGGATGGGAGCTGCGGGGGGGCCCCGCTGCCCATAGAGGCCAGGAGCTGTGGCCCCGCCACCCACGGCAGCTTAGATCTGCAGCACCGCTGCCCATGGCAGCTGGGAAGTCCGTGGGGCCCCCGGCACCCGTGGCCACATGGAGTTGCAGGGTCTCCCCGTCACCTGCTGAGGCCAGGAGCTGTGGCCTCACTGCCCATGGCAGCTGGAAACTCCGGGGGACCCTGGCACCCACAGTCGCAGGGAGCAGCAGGGGGACCCTGCAGTTTTCGGCCAACAAGGCTGAATTCATGGAGGTTGCTGGAAGTTAAGGATTCTGTGACTTCAGCGACCACCATGAAAAAATTATAGCCTTAGTTATAGTGTCCTTCCCACCTCATCTTGTGCTCCACCTGTGGTGCCAGGACAAATGCTCATTTGTCCATTTCCCCCCGCAATCATCTTCTACCTTGCCCCCTACCCAGGGAACACATCCATAGAACACTCCTGACCCATCACCCTCTCTTCTTATAAGAAACCTTTCTCTCCTTTACTCATTAAACCACTCACTTATGCAGAGTGCAAGTGTCTAATGTTGGAAGTGAGGGGTGTGAGATCTCTGGAATTTAAGCTAGTAATTGCTGTTGGGAGATGACAAGGGATAAGGGAAATTAAGTAGGTTTATTTAACAAAATAATTTGTAACCTACAAGTTTTGTTTCTGTCAAGGTTTGTGCCTATCATCACCTCGATTAATCTACCTGTGTTCTCCATGTCCACTGAAGGTAGGACAAGAAGTAATGGGCTTAATCTGCAGCAAGGGAGATTTAGGTTAGATATTAAGAATATCTTTCTATCTACAAGGGTAGCAAAGCTCTGGAATAGTCTTCCAAGAGAGTTTGTGGAATTCCCATCAATGGCGGTTTTTAAGAACAGGTTACATAAATACCTGTCAGGGATGGTCTACATATACTTGATCCTGCCTCAGTGCAGGGGTCAGGCCTTGATGATTTCTCGTCCCTTCCAGCCCTACATTTCTATGATTCTATGACTGAATAGCACAATCCTGTTATGACAAAAGGATGCTGCAAATAAACTGGTCAGTCTTTTCCATCTCTAATTTCTCTGATCCCCAGAGGTAAATGGAAGAATGGACCCTTCAGTGTTATTTTCCAACATGTTTTGTAAATTTATACATTATTTTAAACTGAGGTTTTAGAATAAAGAAAGCAAATGCAAAACATTCCATTAGAACCTGTCTCAAAGAAGCAGGTGGTGAATGACAAAGGCAAATAACAAATACAAACAACAAAGAAATTGAGCATAATATGAAAACAAACAAAAAACATCTTGGGATTTTCAAACCAAACAGAAGGTGATTAGCTACTGATACAGTGGGTCAAATTCCTCCCTGAACTACTATGACCTCATCCTCTAGGACCTTCATAACACCCACATGGTGACATTAAATCTGACATGAATTTGGCCCATACATTTAAATAAATGTTACAGTATTTTTATTGCGAATTCTCAAATTTCTCAATGTTCAACTGGATTTTCACTGAGAAATATTACAGTACATCAGGTCTTGTGTGTGTATGGAGAACAGAGTCATTTTTGGACCGCCTGGTCTTAAATGTTTCCTCACTCGCAGACTCCAGATTATTGAATAGGGCTTGTGGGTTACAATTCACAGCCCAATCATTTTATTTATTCT